TTGTGATGAAAGGTTTTTGTTTTGGCAAGAGCGATATGTTCAATCAAATAACTCACCACATCTTCATCAAACAACCAGAAACATCCAATAGAACTCTCACTCTCATCTCAAGCCTCACTCGTTACCCACCAAACTAATTTCCAGAATTCGTGAGCTTGTTGACTTCAAAAAATAATAAGCGAATGTTCACATACACCCACCTCGTCAAGCAGAGAAAGCCTCAGGCAGGCGGCAGTGCAAATATCTCCTACCATACCTTCGTTGCCTACGGTATATATTTTTGATTAAGCGACAAACATCAAAATTGCGAGGTTGCGGTATGGCGCAGTGGTAATGTCGCTGCGACTTAATCGTACATCCGTTGGTGTTGGCATGCGGGACTTGTCTCTCCTTAACCGCGCGTGTCCATAAGGACGTGTAGCTCCTCTTGTAAGCTCGACAATACTTTACTGAGTGCACTTGAGACGGTGTGGTCATGCTTCCTTAGTTTCGTCTCTCCGCAATGAGATCCTTGATTCGAACAGCGCCTATAGTAGAAACCCTGGGTTTACAGAGTACTTATTCGACGGCTTCGGCTGTTGAATGCTCTCGGGGCTTCTCAACTTGAATCGGACATTACTCGTTCTTGTATCTTTTTTTTTGTAAATTTTTAACTGGTACGATCTCTAAAGAAATAGTAGGCACGCGACAATGATGATTGAGCAGATAAAACCTGATTGATTACAGTTGATGACAACATATCTTCGACCTCCAAATATCTTTACATTCTTGACACCGACGTGGAAAGTAGGGCAATATTTACTTTTCGAGATAAATCGTCTTTGATTAGAATTTAGGTGGTCGCCGTCCTCATTCAACTTTAATTCCATTTCGCTTTCCGAATTTCTTTGGGGCATCGGCAAGTATGTATGTAGTGATGGGTCGAATTCCTTCAATCGTTTGGATGCCATCAAGACATTCGACAAACATAGATTCACTCAGAGAGCGGGGTCGTAACCATCCTGGAGCCCGATTTTTAGTCCATCTTGCGAATAAAATCCATGCAGGAGCTTCTGCGGTAGTATCATTATCAAAACAAGGAATTGATTCCAAAATCTCGAGGTACCCTAAACATCCAATTTCGTTCTTGAAGACAAGCCTTTGTTAGACAGCTCTCCCATCTATTGCCCAGTACCTTAACCCAGATTTATCAGCGCACAGATGAAATCCTTTTGGAGGGTTTTGTGTTCCAATCAAAATTTGGGTACTAGAGCTAATGGACGTTCGGTTTTGACTGTACCTTTCGCCCATAAATCCGTACTCAGCGGAAAACGAAACGGGAGACAGGTATCCGTAACTACAGCCATAGAGAATGTATTTGCTGTGTCCTGCATTATATTGCCCCAGCTATACATATCTTTGAGGAACTCGACGATATTTGGCATCCCATCAGCAAAATAGAGAGCAATAAGATTACCTCCAGCATTGATTCCGGTGTGTTCAAGAAGACCAAAGCAAACTGCAACAGCGTCGCCAATTCCCTCCCACCAATCTGAGTCTTCATGGTAACAATCAACAAATCTTTCAGCACTTCTCTCTTCAACTATTCTTGTGATAGCTTGTTTGACAACATCAGTCTTCCATGGAAAAATATAAAGAAATCCCTCAGCGGGGAATGGAAAACCATATAAATCATTGAAACGCGTCTAAGGTTCCCATTGCATATAGAGATCTCCAGTCCGTAAAGTTTAAGAAGGAACTCAATATTGCAGTATCGTGGATTTTGGCGCCATCTGTGAAGCCAGGATTGTTTCAAAGTTGATCTTTTGGTATTTCCCCATATTTGTTATGGTTCATTTTTGCGTGCTGGTCGACTCCTACACTCCTAAATTTCATACTCGTTGAGTCCGTATTCCACTCGCAATTCAAACTGTTGAGGGGCTTAGCACCCCGAGTTTCCTATAACTGGCGTATAGAATTTGCATCGTATTTCACTGTACAACTTGAAGTCTTTTGGAGGATTGGGTCAAGTAATGGCGTCCATACAGGTGGATTAAAGCCTGGAAGATTCACGTCAAAAGTAGGTATAGGATTAGACTGAAGACCTGTACCTTGTATTTCACGCGGAAATCGAGGTAGTGATCTTGGAATTGAGGAGTTCGTGATGCTTAGATTCGGATAACATGGACCAAACACGTCACCGCCTAATAACGGCGTCTCATTGTAGTAGTGCGGCGAGGGTGGTCAAAGTCAGCACGTTCTGCTAACGCAGACGACGAACCTACTGCGCTGTAACCATATTCGTTACGAATGTAATATTGAGGGCTAGTGTATTGACGTTCTGCTAACGCAGACGACGAAACTTCCGCGCTGTAACGATAATCGTTACGAATGTAATATTGAGGATGTAATGGTTTAGGAGCTGTTTTATCTTCATCCCGAGTACGTTGCAGCTCTAGGTTTCGACATGCCTCCTCAGATAATTCAGGAGATTCATCATCTCGATGGGACCCTGTTGTGATGCCAGAATAACTGCCTATTGTGGTAAAAACTCTGGCGAATTTGCGTTGAATTCCCGTAATAAGTGATGTAGTTCTTAGCCAAAGTTCGGCTGAAGAATTCGCAATACTATTTCGCACGGCTTCTGATAATATGCGTGGTGTGCAAGGTATACCCCATGCATAATAGTGTATTGCAAACAGAACTAGCCAGCTGATTGCAGAACACAATAACGCATATGCCCAGATATAATTGCTATTATGGGTACTGGACTCAGTAGACCCTAATAGCATACCGCCCAATGTTCGATGAACAACAGTATTGTTTGTACGATCGAATTCGAAGAATGGTGGGGGAGGTAGAGGTTGACCAGCTGCTTTCTTACATTGGACCGTCGCTCGCTGTGCCTCCTTTCGATTTATTAGTATGAATGCACCTTGTTCGTAATTTTAGTGATGAAGACACACCTCATCTGCCTGACAATGTTCGATATAGTCCTTGGTGGCAGTCCAAATTGCCAACTTTATACCATAATAAGAAATGACAGTGCCAATCGCGAACGTGCAGGCAGCGATGATAGTTCCAATAGGTCCACATTCCCAGCAGGCTAGGAACTTCACGCATCTAAGGAGAGGATTGGGATTTGGGGGAGGTACGTGGGGACAAGGAGTGCCGAGTATACATCCGCATCCTTGCATGGGTTGACGCACTATCGGCTGCGCAGGTGATGGCTGTCCTTGGGCATGTATTCTTTGTTGTCCAGGCTGGTTTGGTCCTTGCACTTGGGAGCCGGCATTGATATGCATGCCACCTCTAATTGTTGGCGGTTGTGATTGTCCTTCCGTCCCAGATGCAACACTTTGAAGCGGAAGATGCCCAACTGCTAAAGCTGCGATTGGAGGTTTCGAGTTCTGCTGAGGACCAGCGGCGGTTGCTGGAACAGCACTTCCGAGATTACTCATGGTGATAACGGTGGAGGAGTTTACTGAGACGTATCCGCAAAGACTAGGGAAGTTACTAAATGTTCATGGTAGTTATATGATCGTATGAGATGTATCTTATGATTATGACCATAACCTAATTATATATGGGAGAGAAACCTCGATATCTTGGTTGTGGAAGATGCGATGTCGAGCATAGCCTCACATTGCCCTGTGAAACGGGCTACTGCATATGCGCAGGCACGTGACTCCAGAGGGGTTTCAGGGCGTACAAGATGCTCTGGACTTGTTGATTTCACGCATCTGAAAAATTATTTGAATAACTCATTACACATCATGTTGAATGAATTGATTGTTGAGCTTTTCGCTCTACTTTTATCGCCTGGGAATAATAACTAGCGAGTTTCTTGGAGTGAACCTGAGAGTGCTACGATGGAGATCCCAAGCGGGGCGAAGATTAATAAGCGGGGGATGTGGGATGGAAGACAGAGAAGAGAATAAGGGGAAGAGGGTGGAGGGACGAAGGAGGATGTATAAGGAATATGGAGAAAACGACAATAGAATCGAGGGGTGATGTGTCTATTTTCTCTTCTATTTCACATTCCTCGCCCTATCTATATCCTGCCATTCTCGACATCTAGGCAAACTTTAGATACTGACTAGCACGAAAACCCATCCATCCTGGCTAGATTCCCAATTATAAATTCCACCATTCAAACTTTTGTTTCTCAAGACCGATGGGTCTATATTTCCCTAATTCTTTCTGTCCTTATCTTGTTTCTATGTATATCCTGAAAATAAAGACGTCAATGAGAACTTGAAAGATGAAAGGAAGAAGAAATGCAAGTTAATAATGAAGAAAAATAAAGGCATCTATACGCGGCTCTAGGTAATAAAAAGTACAGAAACGTGAGCAAAGGTCAGAGCCGGCATGAGATTTTCCGATCCTGGATACTTCAAGGTAAGTAAGTGGATTTGCTATTGAGGAATTTAGGTTATTTTGATATCCATTGGGAAGTGAAAGGGTGGTAAATCGGGGATATGTTTGAGTTTGATGTGGAAAGGGAATTGGTGGTTGGGATACCATTGAGAGGGAGGAGGAGGCCAATGAGGTCATACTATAATTGTTGCGAGAAGGATGATAGGTTCTGAAGAGGGAGATGAGTGTTGGAGTTGGAACTTGGAAGAGGGGGGTGGATGGAGGGAGTGGAAAAGCGGAGAGGCTTGTTGTGTGGCTTTGTTAAAGAATCGCTTATTGAAACTGAAGAGCTACTTTTTATGTTTATACTTAGTATTCGTTTTCTCTTTGCGCATAGCTAATATTTAGTCATGTTCTATCGCACCCCTTAGTCCTTCTCTCGATTCCCACCATATATATACTGCTCATGCCACGGACTGACTATGCTTTTCTAACTTTACTCTTTTTACTGCGTACACTTCCTCTCGTTTCTCCTTTCTCGTTTTCCCCACCCTCTGTATATGACCTCACTTCACACCCCTTTAATCATCACCCCCCAGATTTATCGTAACCCAATCTACCTTCCCACCCCTCCTATCATCTGCCCTAACTCCATCACCACTGGTAACTCCCCTAATCATCAATAATCCCAAGCTCCTTTTCCTTCTCTCCATCTTTTCGGCCACTAAAGTTCCCATCCCATCCGTACTATCCGTTCCCACCCTTGCCCTCCTCGCATGGAAATGGCTCGCCATTGCCGTTTGCTCGTCTCGTTTACGGGATCTGATTACATGACCGCTGCGAGTAGAACTTATGTATGAAGGAGGTAGTGCGTCTGTTTGTTCTTGCTTATTTTCGGTAACTTCACCACTATTTTCCTCCTGACTGCTATTGGTCGATCTGCTAGGAGCGTGAATTTCCTCATTCGCCTCATCATCTCTCGGATCCCCGATGTAACCCTCATCCTCATCCTCCTGCTTATCTTCGTTCTTGTCTCTGGCTTTATCGTCGAGATCTGGTGTGGAAGACATTGGTTTTATTTCTCTTTCTCTCTCCCTCTCATAAGCTGTGAGATTGGAAAAAGCTCTTACAGCACCCAAATCGATTTCAGCAAGTAAATCAATATCATCAACCATACCTTCATAACTACCCAGCGGTACCGTCACCCGTCGCGGTTCCCTGATTTTAGATCCAGAGCCAGATCCGGCTCCAGATCTTCTATTACTGACCCCAAGCAATTTGCCAACAGGAGATCTAGCTCTCATAGTTTTTGTCGATGCATTATCAGAATACTCAGATGCGGAATAGTTAGACAACACCGAAACGGGTCCTGCGGCCGAAGATTCTGGATCATCCACTGCCGGGTCGGGTAATTTGAAAAGACCAAATGGAACAGAAGCAGAGCTACGAGCTCTTCGGAGTGCTTTTCTAACTGTGTTGCTATATGCAAGTTCATCTGAATCTATCTCTTCGGTACTGTGGTCTCTGCTGTGATCTATAGAGGAGAACCTCTCTCTGAGAGACTGTCTCGATACGGAATGGATAAGTGGTTTGAGTTTCTGTTTGATGCGATTGATGGTGGGAAACCGTGGAATTTCTGAATCACTCCCATCGCTTAGTGGGAATGAGAATGTTGTTGCAGAAGTATTAGTCATCCTCATTGCACGCTTGGAGGCAGCCGTAGTTGACTGCTGGTGAGACCGATCGTGATTGTAAAGTGTTGGGTAGGTTCTATCCGACGCATCGGGACAACCTGACACTGAATACCTAATAGCTTCGTCTTGGATGGGCTCTGATTGTCTGCGTCGGGTACTGAATAATGACTTTGCGGCAGACCAGGTTGGCTTCCACCTTTCCTCGGTCTGTTTGAAACTAGTGATAGCCCCGGTGCGCATATAATTATCTCCTATGCCTGAACCACCACGCAAGCTGACGTTTCCGTTTCGAGCATGGGCTCGTGGATTTGTTGTAACGTATTCATGACCAAAGTTAGGATTGTTGTTTGACAAATCACAGCCCGGAGGATTCGAGGAAAGATCCCGTAATTCGATTTCATCGATGATAATAGAATCATGACCTTCTTCACAAGTTTTGATAGTTATCTTTGTAAAGGGGTTCTGAGATATTGTAGGAGAACCAAGCGCATCACTTCTTTTCTTAGGCTGAAGCATGGAAGAGCGAACAGTAGAATTGCCTCGAGAGCTTCTGTTGCTACTCCTTGTGTCGTTTGCTCCATCCATATGTTGCAAATCTCCCGGCCATTTGGGTGCCGCTTGCACCGTTGCGCCAGCATTTTTATTACGAGTGGATCTTACGTAGCGTGCGATATCGTCTGTGCAACAGCAGAAACTCATCAAGATCACAACACATACGCATACTGCGACGATATACATAAGCTGATATGGAGTGACTTTGAGATTTCCGAATTCGGGAAAATTCGAATGCACATTTGTAGGTGGTTCAGTCATAGCAATGGCGAGTATCGGATCTGCAATCGCGGGTAGAATATTCGAGGGCCCTCTATGAACAAAGGATGTTGTGAGTGTTTGGATAGGTGCGAAGGAAGATTGCTTGGCTGTAGTGATAACTGTAGCTGTGGCTGTTGGGGCGACCGTTGTCGTGATCGTAGATGTAGCCAAATGGTTTTGTATAAACTTCCGTGTTGTCGTGCTAGTAGAAGCAACAAGGCCTGCAGTTGTCCTCAAAGGATTTTGCAAGAACCGAACGACAGGCATGATATCTTTGCTTATTGATTAGTGATGCACCAAAAACTATAGCAGTCAATATATGATATTGCTAGGTATGTCGTTGTAATTGGAATCGATGAAGAAGCAATGTCTGGTCATATATTTGTAACAGTAACGATGCGCAGGCTCAAGAAATATCAGTATCCAAATCAGCGGGCTTGTGAGAAAGGTAGAAGAAAGAAAAGATATAGAGATATACTCACTATAAGTATTTGGTCCGATATGAAAAGAAAGAGCTACCTAGATTTGAACCAAAGTGACCATGACGATTTAGGAAGCTGCCACTCCATTATCTCAACCGATGAAAACTAACGGAGCTCTATCGATCCTGTCTTTTGACCCTCAATAGAAGATGGAACAGAAGAAATATGATAATTTGACGACATTGTCCACAACAAGGCTCGGGGATGGAGTGACATCCTTGGTGATAACCCCTTCGGAGTAGGATGATAGTCTTTGCGAAGATTTGGTGTAACACTAGTGATCACCGTGCCTCATCTCGTCTCGAAGATCTTTATCTAGGATGTTGATGGCTCTGCATAGTTCAAGTAATGTTGCACATCGGAGCTTTCAGCCCCCAAATAAAGAAAGGGGGAAGCTCTACCCTTTCGCTTACTGTGATCGGCATGACTTTAAAATGTAAAAGTTTGAAGAACAACCATTGACACGAACCATTTTGGGACCATTTAGATACCATTAACTATTCGAAGAGCCATGCTCAATATAGCCATGTTCTTGGGAGTCGGGATGAGGCCTCTCATACGTTCAAGAGCAGGCATTGGTCGAACTTTCCCCTTTTGTCATCAGAACCAGAGATAATAAATGCTTTACTTTCAAGTCTTCAATGAAATCACTCGAAACCGTCGAAAGACTACTGTTCTCAAAATTCTTTCCGTGATATTGAAATACAAGAGATCTAAGTGGTTTGCTGGCACGATTGGCTGACGAGCTGCTATCATGGTCGCTAAAACTACCCGCAATAATTTTGGCGCGTCGCGACTTTTCCACTTTAGCACGCGTTTCCCAAATGTTCGAAGCAAAAAATGAACATTATACCTCAACATTCCCATATAATTACAAGAAGACAGCATAATGATCCGCCAGGACCCTAACAGATTTTCCAAGAGACAAAAGCCAGATTATAGAAAAACACAATTTGCAGAGAAACCCGCCTATAAAGATCTCAGTTACCCGCACCGTTTAAATTTCTACTCGATACCCCCTACAGCCGACATAACTTTGGAACAGTTTGAACAATGGGCGATTGATCGTCTGCGAGGTATGCTCCAAGCTTATCACACTCTGCGAATGCATAATAACATGAAAGACAGTTCTCGCAGAGCTCGAAGCATGTTCTTTCAGAAACAGATCCCCCGCCGAGACGGCAGTCCATATGAAACCTCTCCTCGATAAATATCTACCTCTTTCTGCTTCTTCTTCCGGCTCGAGTACACTGCAGGCCGAAAGACAGAAAGATCATTATAGTCATTTCATCCTGCGGCTTGCATTTGCATCTACAGAAGATTTGCGAAGACGGTTTTCTCGGGTTGAGTCTATGTTATTCCGTTTGCGGTTTCAGGCGGACGATTTGAGAGAACGGCAAGCATTTGTGGAAGGTTTGAATCTTGATTGGGAGACAGTGAGCGAAGATGAGAAGAGAGACTATTGGGAACAACTGAAGGGGGCCGCGGGTAGAGATAAGATGCGCATCGAAGAAGAGAGTTGGTTCAAAGTAGACTGGGAGAGGGTACCGGAATTAGTAGAGGGCCGAAGGATATTCCTGAGAGGCGGAAAAGCATACGTACATTCCAGGGAACAACTTTCAATGGTCGTTGCGGAATTTGCAAGTAGGCTGGATAAAGCTCTTGAGGTTTGTTTACTTATTTGAAACCCCCCTCTTCTAATTTGTTCTAACCACTGGCCCAGATTACATCTCGCGCACTCCCTCGGCTCGATGAAGACGATCGACTAACCCCAATCTTAACCCATCTTTCTCAAAACTTCACCACGCCTGACGCGACCTATTCTAGTTCGGCTACTGCGGTAGATGGGGCAGACATATCCGCCCGTAACATCGATGCACTCTCCTCTTCATTCCCTCTTTGCATGCAAAACCTCCACAAGTCTCTCCGCCGCGACGCCCATCTCAAACATTACGGCCGTCTCCAATACACTCTATTTCTTAAGGGCATCGGCCTCAACCTCGAAGAATGTCTTGTCTTCTGGCGATCGTCTTTTAGCAAGATTACAGACGATGTATTCAATAAAGAATACAGGTATAATGTTCGTCACTCATATGGTGATGTAGGAGGAGATTCGAATCGCAGAGGAAATGGTTACTCTCCGTTTAGTTGTCAGAAAATCTTGACGGAACATCCGCCAGGACCAGGAGAATCGCATGGCTGTCCTTATAGATATTTTAGTATTGACAACCTAACATCGTTATTGCGTGCCGTGGGGGTGAATGATCAGGAGGTCTTGAGGGGGGTAAAAGAGGATAAGGAGAAGCAAAAGTTCCATCTTGCTTGTAATCGGTATGTTATCAGGAATGCCTGCAATTGGGTTTACTTACCTCGAACCGATGCTAATGAGTGATATTAGCGTCTTTGAATATGCACATAAACAAGAGATCAAGAAAGTCAAAGATGATGGTACATGGGGTGCAGCACAATTAGAGACCCTTGTCCACCCTAACGAGTACTTCAAACGAAGTTACCTACTCAAAAATCTGGGAAAGAATCCTACAGCAGAGGAAGATGCCAAAATGGACGGTTGAATAATGTATGGATCATATGACATATTAGTACTGGAGTTAGGAGTGGGAAGGGGACATCTTATTGGTACGGTACGATAAATACGATAATTAAGACACGATGTTTGCTTTTGAGTGAGAAGTATATTCAAATATGCCGAAACATCCTCATTCACTATGTTCAGCCTATTATCTCTACACATTCCCATTCGTTTGACTCTCGTCTATTTATCTTGAACACACAATAGCTACCGTTTTTCCAAACAATCATGTACCTCCCCGTCGGTTCTTGCATCTCCCTTCCACTTTTTTCTGGTCAGCAACAAACAGATTTCGCTTTCAAGGGCCTTAAAAGGTAGCCCAAAAACCAAAGACGTTTCTTTTTGTCTCTGGACAGTTGCAGATATTTCAGAGAATTATCCATTCATTCAAGGATTGACATAAGGTCAGTTGGCTCTTCCATATCACCTTACCCACTACCCCCCTCCCTACATACTTCGATCTGTATTGTACATCAATCCAATCTATATACTGACAATCATTTACTAACTCTCATACAGTGTATCAACAATTCTCCAGTGCTCGCTTTTCGAATCTCGATAAATCATAGTCCTGATGCTTGCCAATTAGTCAAAGGAAATAAGAAATATGGCCGCAAACTTAAACGCAAACGATGCTCTCAATTTCACCAGTCTTGGCACTTCTGAACTTCCAAGACAAGTCTTTGCCGTTGGTTTAGGTGGAGTGTTGGGGCTCATAACCTGGTACTTTATATACTTCTATGTGGTGGACCTGGTATTCGATCGGATGGACATGGCGAGGGCCGAAAGGCGGGCCGAAAGACAGCGTCGGATCTTGAGGCTTAATGGTTAGGGGAAAGCTGCCGGGCGTGAATGGGATGGAGATGGGGGAGATTTGGATGTGTGGATTAGAGGATAAGGGAGTGGACTTCTTCTTCACCGAGAGATGGAGAAACTCTGATGGTTGAGACGTAAGAAATGGATGCGAGACTGCGCTGCGCTGGTGTTGATCATCCACTATATACCATGAGTGTACAAGCTCAGACTTCGACAACTTTAAGTTCCGGCACCGAAATACCACGACAATAATCCCATCATTTCATCAGAGTGTCGCAGCTGATGGCAATTTGCTCTGTATAGATGGATTGTGGTGGATGCTGGGAGAAGAACAATATGATGTTGGCAGTCAGTGGCTATGCAAAAACGAACTTTCCTTCCTCAATAGGTACGAGGTATCCCCAGAACTCCGATTCAATCTATCATTTCCATCAGCTGACGTTCCCAGACAACAAATATAGAACTCTTCTCGTACACAGTGCGGTACAACAATTGCGGAATTCGTACACGCGCGATTCTCGGTTTTCGTGATTGATATTCACGCCACTCATGAAATGTAGTAAGTTGACTCAATTGAACTCATGCAATTGCAAACATCAATTGTCTGTCCCATTTCTGTTTGCCATCAATTTCATTTCCATTTTGTTTGCGATTTTAGAAATACAAATGCACAAAGAAGTCTCAGATTTATTTTTCCTCGTTCACGTCGTCGAATGCACATTCCACCCCCAAAATAGCCGAAAACGGCTATTTCCAATTCAATTCCCGATTAGGTCTTTTCGTATGCATTTCCACAGCCCCCTTCTTTATTTCATCGAAATCCAAAAAACGCTTCATGATGTTTAAGGTTCTCTTAATCTGCTGCTTTTTGTTGAATTTAGATAATGGGGAGAACATATGATTTACGTGGCCCAAGAAATAAGACTATGTTAAGTCTCCATCATTTAAATGCAGCGTCAGTTGTGTGTGGTTTATTCTTGGGAGTTATGTTGGCATTGATTGCATTTATTGTTACATTTAGAGTGGCGGTTGATTATGTGGAAGAGTTGGAGGGGCCTGGCAGCGTTTAGGGGAGATGGTCGAAAGGACTGATAAAGCGGTCTCTGGGGTTGGAGATCTGTATGGAAATTGGGGTTAGATCAGACCTAGAAGATCTTGAAAGAGGCCTAAGAGTAGGATGTAAAGTGGCCCAAAACCTATGGAGGAGTCCCAGTATTACTGGTTTAGGACAGAGGAGCAAAAGAGACGAAGTATAGAGGGATTCGTCAAGGGTAGGTAGATATGAAGATCTAAAGATGTAAGTACAGGTTTCCCGATTACACGAAGAGTGTTCTTACTGACGGCGACATTGATAGATGCAGAATTATCAATCGCCATAGCAGTATTAAATATTGAATATTGATATCTACCGAGACAGTGGATTTGTACACGGAAAAAATTTAATTTTACTTTGCTAGTCATTCACCTTCGACGAGAAATTAGTACGTACGGCCAGATTGCAAGGCTGTAGTCTATCTATCATGACTGTATTTACAATTCTCTTCGCCATTATATTCAGCTCGATCTGCCTTTCCTCCTTATACATCATCTACAACCTCGAAAATTCCTGTCTGGACGATCAGCCAAGTTTGTATTTACCTGCCTCCCTGTCTGCACTTTCACTAACTGATTCCCTTCAATTAGGGCTTTCATTTGTCGCATCTCCGTTTTGCGACGGGGATAATATAACCAGCAGTCGAAGATTTCGGAGGATAAAAGAGCAGTCATTCACGCACTGTTTGATCGTCTCACTCCCTCGGTCGCACGAACCTTTCTACTATTACCTTGATTTCGATCATTAGATGTCTCGAAGATACACAACAATCGACTCGAAATTATCAACAGTAATCACGTCACCATCCAATAGTTCACTCGGCTTGATAAGCACATCGCCGACACCGCAAAAACGGAAGTCATGTCTTCTGTTGTAAGATATGACTGGCATGATGGCAGGGTTCATATTGGCGATTGGGCTTTCGACAGGAGTGAAGCAATCTTCATGTTCATTGTTGGAATGTTATTGGGGCTCTTCTTCTTTCTCTTCACGCTGAGAATCTTTGATGGGATTATCCGACCAAGATACTTTCCAGCACTACCAAGCATCCGGAATACGACGGACAGAAGTGTACGAACTACCGAAAGCGTAGCTACCATATCAGCAGACAGATACAGAGGCTTGGCCTAAGCGCGGTGGATGGGAACAGATATATGAGTTGTCTTTGGGGATTTGAAGTGGTTACTAGGAAAATATCGCATGCTGTTGGAGACTTTGGCTCGAAATGTAATCGGTTCACGCTCTCGGGGCTCTTCTTGTGGTCATATATATCTCTGGTAGAAATTACAACATTAAGTGGTAGAAAATGAAGAGCCCTTTACTCATATATTCTTCGCTGTGTTGTGGCTTTATTCTTCGTCAACTCAACCCATAGGTTTTGTGTTCTCTTGCCTTTATTTTGCAGGCTTTGCGATTGAGATAAAGAGAGAATGAGGACATACGAAGTAACGTTGTATATATTTTCCCTGCGATTATCTTCGGATTTTAACTAAACGATCTTCTAGTATTAATCATGGCAGAACAGTTAGAGACATCCTTTGCAGAGAAGTATGGACATCCTCGAGTTGAAGGTCATAGAGTCCTCGAAAATTGGCTTCCGTCGAAGAAAAGTGGCCTGACACCAGCCTCACCAAGTGTAGTCGATTGGAAGATATTGGCATCGGCAGAGGCACTTTCAAAGCTTGAAGATTACCAAAGGACAAGATTTTATGGCAAGTGATTTGATTCGACAGTTGAGTAGTCGTAGCTGACCAACTAGAGGATTCACCGCTCACGAATTAGAATCTGTTGTAGCACTGGAAGATACGAGGCCAGGTAAATGGGACTTCGATTCGAATCATCGATGGGCCGACATTGATGAGGTTCCAATACATCCTATTTTTAAAAAGCATCATCGGGGAAGAGAAGGAGTGATACCATTACATTACCGCAAATATCCATATGGAGATGGTAACAAGTACTGGGAGATAATCGTATATCCCTAAAGTTGTTACGGACCTGTTTGACCAGTGGACCTAGATCAAAGGTAACGACGATATATGGGAGGCATTGCAACCCGCCTTAAAGGTTGCAACTCTGTTATTGTCAAACTCTCAGACTTACCAATGGTACTGATCTGGCTGTACTCATCGATATATAATCTTGCTAACGAAGAAAGGTTTGATACACTAATAAATGCCGATATGAAGATGTACCTGATAGTGAAATATCCGAGCAAGATAGACATGAAATATATGGCTTTTGGCGTTTCTTTCCTGACTCTACAGCCTCTCGTCGAGACAAATTAGATGAGCACAATAAGTTCCTCAACCAGATGATAGGCTTAATTACTTAGGGCTTCGAAGCAGGAACAGTCACTTTGGAAGGACTTCCTGCCCGGGGCTTTACGTCTGGTATGACTATTGAATCCAAGGGTCCTGACTTTAGCTCCGGGGGTGATGCGATTATTTTGCTTGCGTATAGTATAGTCGTGCCGCTGTTAAATCCAAACTTGCTACCAGAGGATAAATCACTAGACAGCTTTAACATTTCATCTGTGATATTACATGGAATCACGGTCCGCTCCTCTCATCCATCTAGTTGATATAGTTTTACTAACCTAGGAAGCACGCAATGTTTACATATAAATCGTTAAAAGATAGGAAATTCACCAACGAGCCGTATTTCATGGAAGAACCACTTGCTGAGACGTGAGTAATCTATTATAAATCTCCATAAAGCTTGACTGATCAATGTCATCAGTGGATTCTCTATGCAAAGAGCTGTATGTTACAATATGACTTTGTCTTTTAGATGTTAATCTTATCCAGGTATTTGGAGGCATCAACATGTCACTAATCACCACTCTCGAAATTCAAGATAGATCATGAGGGGGGATAGTTCAGTCAGTGAATCGTCACGCTTCATAAACCTTTGATGCTCACCCAGAAATCTGAATGAATTTCCCGAATATGTGGTATCATTCTGTATCACAGGGTCCCATACTTTTAGCCGACGCTCAAGATTTGTGGAATATTAGAGCAGCATATCCGGTATCTGTGGACTGGTTCATGGCTTTACATCACCAAAGTTTCTGGAACTTGTATGTACGAGCGTGAGTACTATAAATCATAATCAAAAGTTTACCCTAGTCGTCTAATGAATTGAATCTCAGGTAGGTTCTAAGGCTACACACATGGGCCCAAAGATTGTAGGCTTATGGCAGAATGCTGATGTATAGAAATATGTGAAATTGTATACTACTTTGGAAGATGGAAAGCAAGATGATATAGCTGGATATCTTAGACTTAATTATTATCAAAAATCAAAAATCTGAACTCTGAACTCTGGAGATATGAATGAATAAATCCTTTGGATTGAAAGGGTGATCGTACGTTTATGTATGAAAATAATAGAACAGAGGACTGAGTGTATTTCACTACTATTTTATACAAAAGGATTCTTGTTGTCTGAACATAGGATAGTAATCAGTGTACAATAAAGAAAAGATTTCAAATGTATTAGTCATCAATATACATTCATTTTGATGCCCATTGAATTTGTTAGAGTTACTGCAATCTATACCGACTCCTGAAATAAGCGAGTCCAAAACTGTGACAAACCAAACCGGCTCAGTCTCGAACACCCAAACCTTTATTCTGCAAGGTTTGGTGATCACTTGTTTAGCTATAGTTTCTTATATGAATGAGACTTGATTTTAAGATAAGTTTCATGACTCATAATGGATTATCGATCTTGAACCAAAAAGATTCATTCCACAAATGACCTATACTTATGACCCATGAGCTACTACCCACTACCCACCCTCGAGGATAAGCTCTTAGTGTTCAATCCTATGAAATTAGATTGACAAACCATCATGTATATAGTTTCATTCAACCAACTAGCCTAGTTTGTCACCCCACCAACACCCAATCTCACACCAAGAGAAATATTCACACAAGCGAGAGAACAACCTTGGTATTACCCACCACAAGATAAGTAAGATACAAATCCTCTCCCACATACCCTTAGTACTCTGAGTAGCGCTGCCTATACAGCAAAGATGGCAGATCAAAATTCCCAACAGGTACATATAATACAAACGATATTCTTCAAAAAACAAGTCGATCACCAGCCAGCAAGCTAACTCAAATTCCAGGGAGCTAGCAATCAAAGCATACAAGCCAACACAAGTCGACGTAGAGCCATCCTTCCAAAACTCTCCTGCAAATTAATTTCTACCCTCAAACTTCGAAATAGCTTGCTTGTTTACGTCTCATATGCGGTGTATCAAACCAATAGACCACCAACCAATCGGTTGGCATTTTTCCTGTTATAGCATTCCCCTGGCTCTAAACCCTATTCGTCCCCGCCGTCCTACTCGTCAAGCTGTGCCGGTGGCTCCGTATACGGCTAATACTGGCATTCATTGCGCTCCGCCCGTTGTTCATGGTCGCCCTAGCCGTCACCGTCCTCTTCGTCCTCTTCGACGTCTTCTACCTAGACCTCTGATGACGACTGTTTGATATGGTATAATGGTACGAGGTAGTCATGTTGCATGGCTTATCAGAGATTTCACGGTGGGAGATTCGTGCGCTTACAATGATTTGGGGGTAGGGGGGCTTGTATTTATGATACGTGAATAGTCTATTTGCTAGTTGAAATGGATTTATGATTTGTGATTGTTGATGATTGAAGTTTGGATTCTCATTTATGTATGCAGCTATTAGACAGGACTTTGCAATCGCCGCCTCGTCAAGTTAATGTACTAAAAGTGGCATTTACAATCGTTAATGACGCCGAATCCATGAACAACCCACTACATACATCTATCTTCACGCTCAGCGCACCTCTACCATCTACTTTAATAATTGCATTTAGCTTTCGGATCTGAGCCGCATTTTCAGAGTATTAACTAACGGTGCTGGGTTACCAACAGCAATGAACATGAAAGCTAAAAGACTGTTACCCCAGCCATATCCAAGAGCTTGACACATCTTCGACCCGAATAACGAAAAAGTAAAACCAGCAATCTTGGGAGGAAATTGACTTGCCGTGCTAGCGCTAGCAGGATACTTTGTTGTTGAGTCCAAAACATACGCTGCTATTGCCTGAGTTCCTGAGTTTCAATGTGACATGGTAGTTGTTGGTGAATATTTGCAAGATATTACAGAGGAGAAAAGAAATACGAATAATAGGATAGAAGTCAAGGCAAAGTTGCTGACGAGATAGTAATCTTATATTTTTGAAGCTGCTAGAAATTGTGAATGTCTTTCCTGACCGTGCAAATATTCTGTGATAACATATGGAATCACCAGAGTCGAATCGCATCTCTTATCTCTATGTCATGAAGTGGAATAGGCTTGGAATGGCGATGGAACATGTGATATTCCTCTCAATAACACCACGTGACAGGACGGTCATAAGCTCCATCATGTCCCACAGCTTCCCCTCCATCGACTGTTTTTATCAATCTCTTTGCCAACAAAGCAGGTATTGCCTTTTCATTCGTCCACTCCGTACACTTCCAATATGCCGGTACTTTCTCCCCTTCTCCATAAGGCGATCCATCCACCTTACAAGCTTCCATCTTCATACTCCTCGGACTAAACCATCTCTGCCTGGGAGGCGCTGCAGTACTTTTCAGAACTTCTGTTACTTCTTCCAAATCAGATATATCAATTTCGCCCAGAAGACTTCTTCGATAAAACGACTCGAGTGATTGAGGTGGTGGTGAAGGGATTTGAAAATAGGTCATGCCGTTGATTGAGACGATGTCTCCATTAACTTCGTGGATTGTACCAGAGCCGTCTGATTGGGTTTCAATGAAGATATTGGTGTGGTAGCGTGTCGTTTGGGGCATGAGTGGATCTTGGAAGGCGAGATGCCATTGGATTTTATAGATTTTGTGGGTTGGAGAAGTCATGGTATGGTGCTGATGGTTGAGACTCTGTTGAGACTTTGGAGTTTTCAAGATTGTGAAGTAGCACATGCAGGAAGTGGGAGATCCGATCTGAAGATGCAGAAATTGGCTTAGTTTGATGCTGCATATGTGGCCGATAAAATCTCCTAGTGTATTATTTGAATATGAAAAAAGCAATGAATATAAAAAGTATCGCTAGCTCAAGGGGTTTAGACATTAGCCATTTAAATTGACGATGAGGACTCACACTCTCAAAAAGCTATTCGAGGAGCGGTAGAACTAATAGGAAAACAAAGGCTGCGATAATCAAACAACATACTGCGGCTATGGTGAAGAATCGACGAATGGTATCATTCTGATATCTCTGTCGTGGTGGACGAACACTAACTGTCGCAATCAAGGGAGTATTCTCATTGCTTTCCATTTTTTCATCAAGGAGTATTGATTGTATTGATCTAAGAATATTCGAAGCTGGGGTCTTAGCAGTTGTTACGGTCCAATCGAAAAAATCCTACTTCAACGACTTGAAGTCAAACAGATATCTAAAAGCACGAGAGGATGGATGGATATGTGGTTCCGGGGCATTTTCAAAGTGGGGTGCCCATAACACGCTAAATACACACTCGTGTGCGGCCCATAATTTCAAAAATGCGGGGAGCTGCGATATCCTGACAATAATCAATTAGCTAACTTGGACAACTGCACAACTCGAATCTCTCTTGTAATTTTAGAAGAAACCTCCTTTTCCCGTTCAGCGATATGCCTCCTAGAATACCCAATCTACCTAGACATCCCTTCACAGGTCTACGCAGCCCCATATCAAAGCGATTCGAAACAACAGTCGAAGGACAACAAAATTCGCGATGGCTGGGCACGATTAAAGATAGGATTGGGAAATGTATTATGTTTGGAATGAGTCGAGAACAAGCACAGGATATGGCGAAGGTACTACAGGTACTGGGGCGAGATTGGAGGGAACTTATTGCAGGGAGATATGGTTATTTGGTGGATAAAAAGAGAGCGGGTTTGAGTAGACATCAGGTTGTTTGGGGGGAAATGGATTGTATGGTATATCCCCATTTTAGTGTGCAAGAATTGATGAAATATTTGTGTCTGGAGACAGCCGGAAGTAGAATAAGAAGCTAATCTTAAGTGCACTGTAGAAACATGTTAATAACGTCATGTACATACGATATGCCGAAAGTGCAAGAATAAATTGGGCTCGGAATTATGCTACTTATATCGATCCCCAAAATAAGGACAAATGGAGTCAAATGTGTACACCAAACGGCTATGGGATGATACTACGAAGCATAAAAACGAGTTACCTTTTCGTGAGTGTTCCTCTCGTATTCTATCTTCCCCCACAAGCTCGCACGTATATAAATACACTCTACTAACAAGCATCAGCCTATGACATGGCCTGATCACATTTCCGTATATCATAAGCTTAACCATCCACCCAGTAATAGCGGCAGCAGCTCTTTTACATTAGATGTGCTAATCGTGTCGGAATTGCACCAACGGGTAGCTGCAAGGTGTAGGGAGAATATTGTGACATATGATTATAAAGAAAAGAGGAAGGAGATATTGCAGCCATGGCTTTTGGATGCTTTTGCAAAGACTTGGGAAGAGCAAAACGTGGCAATGGCAAATGCACTGAAGAAAATCGAGGACATCGAGAAGAAGGTCAGGAGGTTGGAGATTGATACTTGGGATAGGACGGATGCAGTAGAGGATATGGGAACGGCTACTGAGACTTTATAGGGGAAGAATAGAACAACCAAGATAGACGATGAAACCTTCCTTGGTACGATTGCGGGGTCGAAGATTGACGAAATATCTTCCAACCAGCGAGGTATTGACAATAAATGTCTTGATATTATAGTTAGATGTCAAAGCTACTTTGTGAACATGCTGGGAGCGCTTGAACTGACGACGTTTAGATAATGATATACCGAAGAAGGTACGTCACGGAAGGGCAAGGGAAGTGAGGAAATTTATAAGGAGGAATAATTCCTTTTCCCAACTCTGAAAGTCCGAATGTCTGGACTGTGCATTTAAATGCAGAGGGGGAAAAAGGATGAAAACTGCATCTATTCTACTCCATTGAGGTAGGGTCAAACTCATGAGTAACTAACCCTAGTTATAAATTTATTGATTACTCGAGTATAGGAAGAATACAACTAAACAAGCCTTACAGACATTTCTAATAGCATCGAGTATGAATTCTGTCAGTAGATTAAGTACCAAAAGATTGTAACGTTATCTTGGCACCGCGAAATATGGCGACTAGTCTTCCACCATAGATATTCTAACATACTCCCGGTGAGCCACACACCCGAGAAACTACAGCACAACCAGCTAGCTCACCGGGAATCCCTCAATTCATTCCCCACATTATCAATCCTTACCCCACCAGAACTCTCGCGGCCGCTAGCCCCATTATATCCCTCGGTTGTACCCAGGTACCCAGGTACGAGTAAATCGATCGTCATTGAGCGTTTTCTTGCCAAACCACCTACCCACCTACTCATCTACTAGTATTCCCATCTAACCCCCCATCTAACCCCTCACCTCATCCCATCTCCCAGAAATTGATATCATATCATATCAATTCTTTATCACTCCCCTTTACTTTACTATATCATACTATACTATACTCTCATACCAATATCATATCAAGCCCCGACGATTTCATACTTCATCCATACTTCATAGCTAGATATAGCTAGCTAGCAAGTTAGCGAACGAGCACAATGTCATCCACATCCTCATCCGCAGCTCTTCGTCTGAGACGGGAAGTGATTGCGATTTATAAAGGTATTAATTTTCTTTTCCTTGTCGATTTCTCTTCCGATATCTATTGCTATTACAATTCCTATCCATCTCCCCTTTACTTTTATCCCCCCCTCCTTCCCAAGACTCTCCATATCCACTATTACATTACACTACATTACCTCATCCCCTCCCCCCTCCCTCCTTCCCCCCAAAACCCTCAAATCCCACCCCTCCACCTCTCATTCACTAACCCCTCCTCCCACCTCCCCAGAACTCCTCCACCTAGGCCGCGCCTACCCCCTCGGCTACCACTATTTCCGCAATAAATTACACCAAGCATTTAGCGCCCAGGCATCATTAAGCGACCAGATCGAGATACGGGCTGGGATTGAGCGGGCTCAGTATGTGAGGAAGGGTATGTTATTTTGTTTTATTTTTTTCTCCTTTTTTCTATTCTATTCTAGCTTTTATATGTTATATTACCTTTGGGATCTCAAACAACAAGCTGGGAGGGCAATGAAGCAAGGAAGGAAGGAATGAATGAAGGAGAACAAAGTATGAGATGAGGATTTGTGTTAGAATATTGCTAATCATTTTACATGGAAAATAGAAATCGAAGCACTGTATGTTATTTTCCATTCCATATTCCGAGAATGCACGAATTGTATCAGTGAATCCAATCAAACATTCACAGATTTGCACTCAAGGAACAATTAATGTATAAAGAGAAACAAGGCTGATCAAATACGCATTGGGTATATCTAGTTACTATCTGAAAAGGTATCGAGCGCTACGCCAAAGATACGAACGATGATGACTCCTGGCATTTATATCCAAACCGATGAATACCATGTGCCCATGCAGATGCAGATAGATATGTTCGGTCCTTATGAAAGGGATATAATACCGACAAATGAATTGAAAAGACTTGAAATCTTGGCCTTGAAAGGTCAGAGAACGAGATCGGAAATATGTCCAGACGCGCAACATGTATAGGGCGTGGGGAAGTGGCGATTCGAGGTCGAAAAAATCGAGGTGGTATTATAGACATTCGGGCGGAGGGGGGCGAGAATTGGTGGAGAGGATTGGATAAATTCGAGGGCATGTGAACAACTTCTTTCAGGTATTCGAATCAGACTTCGGATCTTTTTTCTTCGCCCACCAAGCACCGACTTCTAGACATTCTCCCCAGGATGTTCCATTATTCTTCAACATATCCGTCATCAAATGCCCGCACCAACGATCCCATTCGTCCATGGTTTTCCCACTTGCTTCTTTCAATAGTGGTTCTAGACTCTCGATCATTTGTATAATGCTCATAAGCGCGGTTCTGCGAAGGGCGGCTTGTCCTGGTGTAAGGTGTTTGCGATCGACTTCTTTGACTTTGCCGTTCGATCCATGGAGTCCGTTCATTAAAGTGGCGGATCCGCCTACTCCTTCACGCTCCCAACGTACTTCGCCGAGTGGGATGGCTAGTCTTCGACTTTCGATTTGTTCGAGAACTTCGGCTTCTTGCAGGAGAAGAGGTCGGATATTCGTACAAGGCATGGGAGGTAAATCTTTAGACTCGAGGGCCTTGGATATCCATGTATTATAGTCTATGAGAAATTGATTTCGTGGTGCTGCTAGAGGTGTTTGTGGTGTTATGGTATATGCGCCCATGGCATTGGTGTGTATTTGTTTGTGAGCTTGTCTAGAATTGTCTTTGTCTTTCGTGGCAGGTGGTGTATGCGACAGAAGCATTCGAATAGTGTGATCGCCATCCCAGAATTCTAGTGTCCCTCCCGGTTTCAATATTCGTAAGTATTCATCCATCAAAGCCTGAAAGTTGTCTTTTGTAGATAGTATCATGCTAGCGTCCTTAACCATAATTAAGGAGAATTCTTCGTCGCGAAAGGGAAGGGGCGTTTTTCGTAGATCGTGCTGGACAAACCGCCAATTCATATCATCGTCGGCATCCATTCGGGGAGCCAGCGGCGCAATATCTATACCCGTAAATGAAATTGAGGAGTGACCTTTATGCGAAAAATGTTTATGACACATCACACTCCAAAAGCCAGTGCCGCACGCAACCTCGAGTACTCGTTTTGGGGGTCGGTTGTTGAAAGCGGGAGAACATGTAGGACCGTTGAAGACTTGACATAGTAACATCGTTCGTAAAGTCTGTCGATGTATTTCGGGAAGATCACAGGGTAGAGGATATGCCAGCGATGGATCTCGTAGATATCGGCGACCATTTCGTTTGGTAAATGGTTGCGCCATTAGATCTTCTATCGATGACCCTAACGGATCACGATCCTTTGAATTTATCTTTGAGATTTGACTAGAACCTGCGGTGCTAGAAATACTATTTGCTCTTCCTGCGGATTCTGATACTCCTCTCTGCTGGTGAGCGGCGGAGTTGGTGGAGGCATACCGTTCCACTCCGCTTGCATTTTTGTTGCTGTGAGAAGAATGGCCCGAGGTCGATGATGATTTGCGCTTTGCTTTCGCTTCTGTTGCGGTCCGGGCTTTATTGGTTTGATTTGCGGAGTGTTTGTAATCGACTAAAGGGGTTGAAAGCATAATAATAATACCAGTACCCACACTGGACGACGTCGTCCTATCGCTAACTTCTTGATTATTACTGTCACTCTTATCGCTTTTGGAAGTTGTAGTTCCAACAAGAGTGTCAAGAGTGGAAGGAGAGGATGGAACTTGTTGAAGGTTAAATGGTGGTGGTGGTACTGCTGGTACTGGTGTTGGATAATCGGGATCCAATGGTAATGGTAATAATTCGTTTCGTTGTGAACTTGATGTTGATTGAGATCTGGATCGAGAGGATTTCTTGGTAAATGGTCTTACAGGTTGCGCTTGCGAATGTATGGGTATATTCGTATGTGCTGATGGGGGTTTTGAACGATCAGGTTTCTGAACCGTAGTATTATAAAAGAATGCGGCTTCAGCCATGATGATGAAATAAATGATGTATGGGCCTTCATTGATGAATTGTGAAAAGTATTGGTAGTGAATACTCGTTATAGGTACGGAGGTTTCTGAAGTATACCTGCATAACTAGGGAATCCGTAGTTTTGCCTAATTGAAATCCCAGACGACGAATAGATAGATATATTCCCATGAAACGGAGTCGATGGGATGAGAATGGACGAAAGTGGTAATGTAATTAGGTATGGCAATGTGACGCTGTAAGATGTTTGTGACTCGTGGATGTTGTGCTAGGTGAAGTTACTCGTACAAGTAGATAATGTATGGGTGATCTTTTGATCATGTACAGCAGCAATAACGCAATAACGGTACCTTTCCAGCTGGAAACCGGGCAACTTCGTATATTTGAATGAGAATCTATAGCACAGTGGAATTACGGGAAGACCCTTTCATCTGTATCGATATCAACCCAACTGGAATTCAAGGTAGAGAGACAAGCAGCCCAGAAATATATCGGCGTGAGCGAAGAGATGGTGGCATTTGGGCGTCAGGGTTTTCGATTATGTTATTGTACTCCCGCGTCGTATGAAGCCGGATAGGGGACTTTGGAGGGATTTTAAATTGATACTCCGTAATAATGTTATAAAATGGACACGAAGCACTGGCGGAGTAATGATCCCATACATTGAAAATCCGGGGAAACGAGGGGAAACTCTAGCCTTATAATAATATACTAGATTATATAAAAGAAGCTATCTAGGTCTAGACAAATTATGCATCTATCATGTCACTTTAGATATGAAATTATACTCTACATCTACAGTCATAGCCATTCTGTTGGGATTAATCATACAGCTTGGAACTTGTTCAGGGTTCTATACATGCCGGGGTTCAAAAAGTATCAATTGATTCAAGGAATTTACATTGGAAGCGAACATTCTCTCCGACTTCTACTTCTAGCATTGCTAAGAAAGATGCTTTCCCCGCTCTCATTTGTAGATATACCCTGTTTACTACTATTACGGGAAGTTCTAGTAATCATCCAGACTTCATCATGATCCCATTGGTGATACCAACCCGTACTTCGAGAGGATCTCCGAAATTACTGTCAGTTTGGTTAGTTTTCAACCAGTTTGAGATATTTGCCCGCGTTGTCGTACCCCAGGTTTCACTCAGAGGAGTATATTAGTAGCTAATATTGTCCATTTCGGGTTCCGGGGCCGCTCCTTCAGATAGAAAGCACACGAGACATAGACCTTATCCGAGCCGTCTGAAAACAACTGTTTGATCCATCCGCCGTTGTGCGTTGGAACCCTATCTAAGACTGTGCTAATCAACACTTATCGAGAGATTGCGCTGGAAGAATGGATATTTCATTGGTGCAATTAGATGCATCATGGAACAGGACTCGAGTATCCAAAATACAAGCAAGCATAGGACAAAAGTCTTCTTGCATTATGTCACACAGGATAGGATAGTAAGTACATCACCCCTACTTGAATGAGGCCGGATGATGTTACCTCATCAAAATCCAGTTGGAGGGGTTGATGCAATGTTGGAGTATGTACCAGTTTCAAATGGCTCCCAAGCAACCACTGTATAAGTTAATGGATACTATTGATGAATTGGAAACATGAAACAGATGAGGACTGCAGAATGCCCCCGAGAGTAAACTTTGTTCATGCAGCTGATAATGCAGTACTTGTCTTGTCATACATAGTGCTCATTGTTGATACCCGTAGCAAGGCCTCAATGTCTCAAAAGAAGTGGCAAATTCATTACCTGAGACTGCAAGTGAATTGAGGAAGCTGTACCATTATATGATTTCATCAAGTAAAGTTCCAATTAGAGTCAATGGATGTAAAAGTTCTGGTGTCTAGAAGTTAACAACTGAATAGGTACGGTGGATGAGGCTAAGATGTCATTCGCTTAGAGTCACATGACTTTTACTTTTAACGCTAAGCTCTCATCCATGTTGAGATTGGAGCTTGGTGGGTGAACCACTCTGAACAGTGTAGTTGACGATAAACATCAAAACAACAATTCCAGCCTACAAGATTCCTTTTGTCGACAGTCTCTAAGATATGAGAAGGTTCTCCATTTGTTAACAAGGTAGTACTTTTCTTTTCCTACCTAGAGAAAAAAATGAACTCTTTTTCTTTCAACAGTGTTCACTTCTTAAGATAGCCACTTACCAGTTGCAAAATACTAGGCCCGACAATCCGACAATTAGAACTCGAACAATTCATTATTGACATCTGCGAGATCTTTGACAGAAGACCCGAAGGTCGAGTAAATATTCCAATTACGCGCCTTGCAGAATCCAGCGTGGAAACCCAGCAAACAACTGTATCTCTCTGATTCCAACATCGATTGCTTCGCGCACAACCGGGCACCCCACCACTTGTGACCTTGCGATCGTGGTATATGCTTAGAAAACATTTCCGAGAGACTTATGTGCCAACGAAGAAGAAACCGATCCCCAGCTTCGAAACCACCAATTTAAACGGTCCTCGGTTTATTCCGTCTCCCTACACGGCCTGCGCTCACAAAGCTGAGCCAACGCCTCCGCTAGATCTCTATCTGCGGTGGTTTTAATGGCAGATGGTTACAGATTTTCACAGCAGAACGCTGGGAACTATTATTATCCTCAGAATACACACCACCAAAGACATCTGATCCGCACTGGGACACCTCCAAATAACATTCGATCCGCCTTTAACACCAATACTCCCTCGCCAACTCGAACTCCCGATCCCCAATCTCCCGCCCACGGTCTTTACGGTATGTTCAACCACCAGCAAGGACAACATGGCCGCGTCAATGGCGCAGGACGGGGTGCCATGATGCCCTATCCTCACTTTCCCACACATCAGCCTCAGCATACCCAACACCACGCCAACATCCAACAAGACCACAATGCACATATTTCCAACGGAGTTAACCATCATGCGAACTTTCCCTCTGTTGGCATGCAAAACTCGACATCCACTTTCACGCCAAACCTGCAAAACGGGCACGCGACAAGTACACATGGTAGTCAGGCTCCAGTAATGAACGAGCATTGGCAGAAACAATTAGAATTGTATCAAGAATCAAAGAAAGCAAAACTCCACGCCCCGCATCATTTTGCTAGAACCAAAGCCACTCAGAATACTGTTGACAAGCCTACAACAACGACATTAACTGAGGAAGAACCAGAGAACGCGAGTCGAAACAGACCTTCGAACACCGACAGTTCTATCAAGCGTCAAGACTGGCACAATATGGATATGAGTGGTCTTGGGCTTCGAGCATTATCAGTCGAAGTATTCCAGTATACATTCCTTCATGAGTTATACGTGGCATCCAACGCCCTAACTTCTTTACCTGCGTCCATTGGTCAACTGCGACACCTGCGTCATTTAGATGCCTCGGGCAATTCATTGCAAACACTCCCACCCGAATTAGGCATGTGTGTATATCTGAAGAATTTACTGCTGTTCGATAATCAGCTTACGTCATTACCGCAATCTTTTGGATCACTCTATCAATTAGAGATGCTAGGCATCGAAGGAAACAAGCAAATGGACCCTGCCATCAAGAGTGAAATCATGGAGAAGGGCACCAAGGCTCTCATACATACCTTGAAAGAAGAAGCTCCAGGTGAGTACGCAAATCTAAACTATCCGTCTCGTGACTAACCTTTCCAAGTACCTCTTCCTCCTTGTCCTAGAGAAATGATCGATCTACTCAATGGTTCAACTGTTGCACCAGACGTGGAGCGTTTCACTGTGTTCTCTTATAACATTTTGTGTGATAATTACGTGGGTCCCGGCCAATACGGCTATGTCCCATCTAAGGCATTAGACTGGGAGCATCGGCGGCACGAAATTCTGAGCGAAATCGAAGCCCGGGATTCAGATTTCGTGTGCCTTCAAGAAGTGGATGCTGAAAATTTCCGAGAATTCTTCAGTGTGAAGCTTGCATACAAAGACTACAAAGGTGTATGGTGGCCGAAGTCACGAGCCAAGACCATGTCCGAGTCAGCTGCAAAGGCTGTCGATGGCTGCGCAACTTTCTATAAAAACAACAAATACATTCTCCTTGACAAGCAACTTATCGATTTTGCCAACATCGCAATTAATAGACCAGATATGAAAAATCAACATGACATCTTCAATCGTGTCATGCCTAGGGATCACATTGCAGTGCTGGCTTTCTTCGAAAACCGCTTAACTGGATCACGCGTTATTGTTGCCAATGCACACATATTCTGGGATCCAGCGTATGCTGATGTTAAACTGATCCAAATCGCAATATTGATGGAGAGCATCAGCAAATTCGCCGAGAAATATCAACGATTTCCCGCTTGCAAAGACAAAAAAGCATATACCATCACGGATGATTCAGATCCAGAGGCCCCTGTGGCAGTCGCTCCAGAACCCGCTCCATCCATGGAATATACGAATAAGACCCAAATACCACTAATAGTATGTGGAGATTTGAACTCTACTGCAGACTCCAGTGTGTACGAATTATTGGCTACTGGACGAGTAGCTCCGGATCATCCAGACCTTGGCAGCTATCAATATGGAAATTTCACGAGAGATGGAATTGAGCACCCTTTCTCCCTTCGATCCGCCTACACAAACCTAGCCGATGGTCCACAGGAATTGACATGGACCAATTACACACCCGGATTCACCGATCACATTGATCACATCTGGTACTCAACCAATGCTCTCGAGAACACGGATTTATTAGGACCTGTAGACGAAGAATACATGAGAACAGTGCCCGGCTTGCCACACTACCATTTCCCCAGTGATCACTTAGCACTCCTAGCTCGATTCAATGTCAAGATGCCAAAAGCCAAGAAAGCCCATACAGAACCCGATTTTGGTCCGTCGAGCCACCATGATCGACGAAGAGATTAAAATGTACATGGAGCCAAAGCAAAAGCTCCATCTTCTTAACTTTGAGACCTTGGGAGCTGGACCGAAGGATCTCAATGAACGGAAAGGGAAGGAGTTTTTTTTTCTTTCTTGTGTTTATTCCATGGGTTTGGAAATTGGTGGTTTGGCAGGCTACTGGCGGGCGTGGAGCGTTGTATGCATTTTCGAACCGTCACTTTTCACACTCTCTTTTGCAGTCGTCTTATTGGGTTTTGTTTTCGTGTAATGATTAGGTTTCAGACTGAGTGATGTGGGGTGGATGATGTGAGCGGGCAAAGCAAAGGGTGGGATGTATGGAGGGGGTTGAATCGAGATGATAGGAGAGATGAGTTGAGATGAGATATATGCAAGCAAAACAAGATACATGTTAGTGTATAGAACAACATGATAACACTTGTTTTGCCCCTCTTTTTTCAAATTTCTCCCTGCTTGCTGCTTTGATTTTTATTACTTTGGTGAGATTGTATATGTATTATTTATTTTGATGTTTGAATTTTGTTAATACTTCAGGTTGTAATGTTTGGTTCTTCGATCCACGGAAGAATAGGTACTATGTATGTATGTATGTTGGTATAATTGGTAAAGACCAATTATTTAATTGATTGTCTTCTAGCATATGAGTAATCAGTATAGTAGATCTCTATTTAAGATTTAAGACTCTACAGTAACTTTCTAAGATTCTAACTTGAAGTGGTCAAAACTTGAAATGGTTAGTATGTTTAGAAGGAAGGAAGTTGGTATTGTGGTGTGGTGTTGTGTGATTGGGATGGTTAGGATTGCTGGGATGAGGGTGGTTGGGATCTTATTCTATGGGGAATACTGGAGTTATGGATGGATGGTATGTATGGGAGAGGGAAGGGGGTGGTATATGATGAGGATGAGGATGAGAATGGGATGCAATGGGAAATGTGGGGGGGGGGGGGGTTGATGGAGGTCGAGGAAGCAGGGTACTGTGATGGAGGTTTATTGAGAATGGGATGGAGGCGGGGAATGGGAACGGGAAGGGGAGCAGAGGGGAGGAGAGGAGGAGGGGAGCAGGGAAGGAGGAGGGGGGATATAGAATGGTATGGTATAGGTAGGTATAGGTATAGAATGAGAATGAGCATGAGCATGGGATAGGATATCGACAGGACGAGAATGGGGATGGAGAGATAGAGAGATAGAGATGTAGAGAGAGGTATACAGAGGTAGGAGTATTGAATATTGAAATACTAGAATACTAGAATGTGTTCTTGATGAGATCAGAGCCTAAGAGGGGTTTAGTAGTTTGGTATGGTGTAGTATGGGTGTAGTATGCTATCTATATTATAATCCACAACGCAATCTTCCCAAAAGTATTTTCTTATATACGAGGATCCGATATTAACATATCATATCAATTCATGAAGTTTTGATCTGCCTAGCCTAGCCTAACTGATTTGATTGATGATTGAAGATTGATTTATTCGCACACAACCCGAGTCCTTTTTTGCTTTGTCTCTACCTATGTTTATTGTTCGAAATTCAAAATGGTAATCTTACATTCAAATTTCTGTTTTCATCTAATTTCTTGTATTTATTCTGCTAAAAGTTACGATTTCTGTGATTTTCATATTAATATTTGTAGATAAAGAAGTGGAATAAGGATATTTTGTTGCCGCATTTGGTCAAGGACCTATGTCAAGAAAGATTGAAGGGGAACTTTCTTTGTCTATCTGTCTGTCTGTCTCATCCTGGGAAATAATAATTATAAATTTGTGATATCGCCATTCAACTTCATCTAAACCTCGATTTCAAGCTCAGGACAGCAAATTCGTTAAAAATACATCACCCCCATCAACCAACCCAACCATCACATCATGTCACATCACGTCACATCACATCCCATCACCCCCAAAATCATGTCCAAATACTCCCAACCCACCGCCTCATCCATAATTTCCCGTCCCCTCTCCACCTGGTCCACCACCTCACCCTACCCGCGCTTCGAGCACATTGAGCGCTCCAACCAAATGACGCTCATCTGCGATAAGATACGCCAACACTGGATCGCCACGCCCTTTTACCAGGAACAAGCGGAGTTTATCCGCACACGCATATTCGGGTTGGAGACTTTATATATCGAGAGTGCGTTGTGTATGGGAATTGGAAGTTTGAGTAATCGGAACCCTAGACCGTATGATAATCGGACGGCGAATAGTTGGGTCAAGAAGGAGCCGTGGGGACTGGATCGCAAGTATGATGTGAAGAGTCTGAAGGGGTTGTGTCAGTTGGTGCTTTTTGAGTGTTGGGTTGAGATTTTGCGTAGGTTTTGGTGGTTTCTTTTCTGGGTTTCGTTTCTTTTGTGGATTGATGGGAGATACTATGTATGAGGTTGTTCGAAGAACCTGGACTGATATTTTTGCAGAAGAAAAATTTCAAATCGATAAACATAGTATATGGTTTTATTTCCCACGTCGTATGAATTTGATCGAGCAGATGTTTATGCAAAGTCGAGATTATGGAGACAATATCATTTTGTTTTATCATGAGTTGAAGGATGTTGTGAGACCGTCGACTTTTTTGTTTGGAACAACCAAACATACCAGATATTGGCATGAAGGTTTGTTGAATACGACAATTCCTACCTTAGCTGTATCGGCTCCGCTGCAAGTAAATGGATACTGGAAGAATCACTCTCGTGGGTAAGTTAGCCGTTGGAAAGTCCTATTAGAGAACGAGGATGCATCAAAATGTCGGTACATATACTAATACGTACTGACTTCAATACAGTGCCCAAAGGGAGTTCCGCCGCTTTCTGAATACAGTTGAAAGTCGCAAACTCGGCCCCTTGGTAGATGTAACCGAGCTACCACAAATGGAACGAAAAGCTTTCCGAAAACAGCTCGATACAAGGAGAAGTATCGAGGTGCGAATGAGCGATATTTTGATGAATTATGAATTCTACTGGAGACCTGATCCAGTAACGATGACGGAACCAGAGAAACCTATGTATGGTTGGTATACACCTGTGGCGTGGCACAAGCTTCCTGGTCCGACTGGTGTCTCGTCGTACGTGGCTGGTCTCTCGGGTAAAGTATATGATCCAACTGAGATGGAGACGAAATGTCTGGAGAAGAATATGTCATGGTGGCAGTGGCTTGTACAGCACTTGCCTTTGTTGATCTATCTTGATATCTTGTTAAAATGGAACAAAACCATGTTTGTGGAAACATTTTGGCAGATTATTGCACTGCAGGGTATACTACAATGGCTAGTGGAAGCAGTGTGGGACTCTAGGGAACGTGGTGATGAGGTATGGTATTTGGTGGAGGTGAAAATGGATAAGGGGCTAGAATGGCAATGGTGGTGCAGTGAGGAATTGAATCCGGGAGCGTATGAGAAGGTGGAAGATTTTCATTATGCGACCCTAGGGAGGAAGGAGGGCTTTGTGCGAAGGCGCTGGCGGGACTTTTGGGAGGATATATTCTTTGGAGAATCACCTGTGGGTTCACCTGTGGGTTCAGACGCAGATTCATTTCTGGACAGGTCCTGGTAGAAATCCCACTGAGTTTTCGTATTGTCCTTTTAGGATACGATATGTTTCTCATCGAGACAGCTCAGAATGAGACGATGATAGGGAAGTAAGATGCAGTAGAGTTGAATAGTTTGTACTAAATGCAAAGCACAATAATAACTTTTACAATGATTGATCATCATACATTCATTGCCTTCCTTATAAGCATTAATCGACATGGCATCTACCAAACTATAGGTAGACTGAAGCTCGAAAATAAATATTCTCCATGCTGCTCCTCGAGATTATGATGATGACTTAGAGATTGATTGAACATGACTATCAATCATTGCAAGGGAATATTAAGACTCTCTTCTTGTTATGAATGTACGACAGAGTACTCGTAGAGTCAATATAAAACAGCAAGCACGAATAACTTTATTCTTTGCTACTAATGCCATCCGGTGCGATGCGATGCAGTACGGTATGTTTTTATGTTTTAGACATATGGATGTTGTAACCGTAAATTGATGAGACCCATAAATTTAGTTCAGACTAGGCCGGTAAAACTCTAGTCCGTCTCGCCCCGCGCCTTACCATCATAGCCTTGGTAAAGTTAAGCTTAAGGTCAAGCTATCTTGGAACGAACCAATTCCTTCCTCCAGTCTTCACTCCTCACCTCCTCACTCCTCAATCTTTCTCTCCATACAAGAGCATCAACTTACAAATTATTGTACATATCTACTACTCGAACCCTCAATTGTGATATCCTAAAATGGCATCTTGAATGTTCTTATCAATTCTAAATACACAAAAACGGTCCTAAAACCTATCATTCTTCCTATCTAACTCAACATGAAATGCTATAATCCATCTGCGTTTGTTCCCATGGCGGTTACATTGGTAATCGTCATAGTTTATCTGGGCATCTTCATACCTCTACTCATTATTCATGAGACTGTACCTTCTGCTCCCGAAGATCCCACTCTTTACAATGGCCTCAATCTTACGGAAGCATGGCTCGACCTTCAAAGCTTGAGCGATGGCTACCACCCTTTCAACAGTCGCAAAAATGACGACGTTCGAAATTGGCTATTGAAAAGGATTGATGAGATACTCGACCATAATCATATTGAATATACAACAGAAAATGACACTGCCAGTACCTCGGACATTGGACTTGAAACCAGTTTCGACGAGGACATTGCTGAGTCGATATCAAGTCCTAGCAACTTCAATGTCGACTCTGCAGAATATCATGAGGATCTGCGAATACGTAAAGTATCGCCTGCGGTTACAGTCTTCAACGATTTACGTTCGAATTATTCCAGCAATGCCCTTACAAGCATTGGGGTCAAAGGCCGAAAGCTTGGGATAAGCACCTACTTTGAAGGAAACAATATCATATGCTATGTACGAGGGCGCGATGACGAAGAGGGTGAATGGTGGAAGACTGGATCTGTTAATTCCAAAGGGAAGACTCATGGTAGAGGTGGTGTAATGGTCAATGCCCATTTCGACAGTGTCTCGACGGGCTTTGGAGCTACAGATGATGGAGTAGGAGTCGTTACGGCCCTTCAACTGATCCGCTATTTTACAACACCGGAGAATCGACCGCAGAAAGGCTTTGTCGCTCTATTCAATAATGGTGAAGAGGATGGGCTATATGGTGCGAAGGCATTTTTGTCACACCCAATGGCAAAATTTGTGCATACATTCTTAAACTTGGAAGGAGCTGGAGCTGGTGGTCGAGCTACTTTGTTTCGAAGTACAGATACTGAGGTTACCCGAGCTTACGCTCACGCAAAACATCCTTTCGGGACCGTTGTTAGTTCGGACGGTTTCTCATTAGGATTTGTGAGGAGTGAGACTGATTATGTCATATTTCGAGCAGAGGGCTATCGTGGACTAGACGTTGCATTTTGGCGACCGAGATCTCAGTATCATACTGATCAAGATGATGCTAAACATACCTCGATAGACTCATTATGGCACATGTTGTCTGCATCTGTAGCTACCACTAGATCTCTCGCAAGGGATACGAGCAATACCTTTGTGGGCCCACGAAATGACGATAAGGTTGGAAAGGTTAGCAATGGAAAAGGATCAGATGGTGTTTGGTTCGATATATTTGGCACCTTTTTTGCAGTGTTCGGATTAAGAACTCTCTTCGCTTGGTCACTAACTCTTCTCATTGCCGCCCCATTGATCCTCTTTGCCGTCTCGTATCTCCTTAATCGACAAGATAAATTTTACTTCTTTACTGGATCTATGAAGCCTAAGGATCCAGAAAGCGAACCTATTTTCCTTGGTGGATGGCGTGGTGCCTTCCGCTTTCCTATCACTCTTATCATTACCGGTGCTATCACCTTTGCGTGCGGATCCCTAATTAACAAGATCAATCCTTTGATTATATACTCTTCCCCATACTCAGTATGGAGTATGTCTGCGACCCTATTCTTTTCGGCATTTTGGTTCATCATGGCTGGTTGCAATTTCGTCAGACCTTCGGCACTTCAAAGAGGCTATGCCTTTATGTGGATGTTTGTGTTCGGTTGGATTCTTCTTGTAGCTGCTACAGTATTCGAAGATCGCTTTAAGATAAGCGGTGGTTATCTGTTTGTGTTCTACGAGGCTGCAATATTCCTTGCTACCTTGATCGCTATTGGCGAACAATTTGCGTTACCTAGAAAATCCTTGTTTGTCGAGCAGTCTCAAAATGACCATAGCAACAACCAAGACCACCACCATCAAGCCGAGATGGGTAACGATGGAGCCAATGGGGTTGAAGAAGCCGATGAAGGCGATGAAGCAGAAGAGGAGGAGGAAGACCCAGAGGATACTGCGAACGAGACAATAACCTCTCACGAAACGACTCCTCTCATTGGAGGCGGAGCACCTAGTCATCGCACTTCACTTAGCACCACCTTTGCCAATCGATATCGTCAAGTCATTCCTGAATCATATGACGGGCCAGCTGATCATCATCATGATAAAAAAGGTCACAAGAAACATCCTTACGGAGGTGAACAGGAGTGGTCTGCCAAATTACCTATATGGACTTGGCTGGTTCAATTTCTCCTTATTGGTCCATTTATACTAATTGTTGTTGGACAAGTTGGTCTATTCCTTGTAGCTGCTCTACACCAAACTGGAACCGATGGCAGTCCTCTTCTCTTACCATACCTGGTCGTCGCTGTATTCTCCATCCTATTACTACTTCCAGTAACACCATTCATACACCGCCTCACACATCATATACCAACGTTCTTCTTCTTGGTCTTTATTGGCACTCTCATTTACAATCTCGTCGCTTTCCCCTTTTCGCCTAACAACCGCTACAAGGCTTATTTTCAACAAACCGTTAATCTCGACACTGGTCTCAATAAAGTCACGCTCGTAGGAATCGAAACTTATATCCGTGAGATCATCGCGCAAATTCCGAGCGCGGCAGGCCAAACTATAAATTGTGAAGAGAATTCTCGAGTTCGATCAGGTCTTTCCTTCTGCTCCTATGAAGGCCTACCTCCAATGGTGATAGATGATGTAGTTGAAGGTATTCCACCCGAAAAAGGATATAGTGACTGGCTCACCTACAACGTCTCTCGCGTTCCTGGTGAAAACAAAGCGACATTCCACATTTCGGGCCAAGAAACTCGCGCATGTATTCTCCGCTTCGATGATCCCTTCTCGGAATTTAACGTTCATGGTGGAGCTAAAACGGAAGAGAGATGGGATGATGTACCTGATAGTGGAAGTGATCAGATTAAGCTATGGCATCGAGATTGGAATAAGGAATGGGTGGTTGATGTCGAATGGGCAGTGGGTGAGGACATGAAACGAGGAGAAGAGGGGAGATCAGGGAGAGTTGTTTGTTTGTGGAGTGATGCTAATAAGAGGGGAGTTATTCCTGCTCTGGACGAGGCGCAGAGATTTAGTCCGGATTGGACTAGTGTGGTCAAATTGATGGATGGGTTGGTTGAGGGGAGTAAGAGGTTTGTTGTTTAGGTTTTTGGCTTTGAGATGGATGAATGATTGAGGGGGAGAAGAGGTTTCTTGGCGTCGGAAAGGTTTGAAATTGGGTGATGAGGAAGAGGAAGAGGATCATGTGGTATTATTAATGAATGGATTGAGTGGGTGGGTGTAATGAGAATAAATGGTTTTAATGCGTCATGCGACTCGGATGGATGAGGATGGGAATTGGTTTGTAGTATAGGTTTACTGGTGTAGTAGTATAGCAGTATAATGGTGTTTGATAATGAATACCTACACACTTCTTTTATACATTTCACTGCTTATGATTGTTTATTGCGTCGTTGTATCTTGTCTTTTAGAGTATAGGAGATGGCATAGGAGATTGGGGATGGGGATGGGAGTGTTATTCCAATATAACATGAATACCTACATACACAGAAACCCTCCCCTCTCCTCTCTCCTCCCTCCTTTCCCCCTTTTTACTCTCTTATTTTCTCTTATTTAAAACCCCTTTATACATTCACATTTACACTTTAACTTTCTTCGTAAAAAAAAATCTACAGCGGAAGTTATTCACCTACCTGGATACTAGGTATATTATGAATTTTCTAAAGCTTAGTAACCTTACTAGTTCTACAGTAGTTCTAATCCAAATCTTTATCCCAATGTTATTTATTCGAGAATTAGAGAGCTAAGCTAAATTTCGTATTTACTCGAGTATTGGAGTATATAAATAAATCTCGATGTGGAATCTCGATATGGAATCTTGGAGTAGTTTTTATACTAAATGTAATATGGTGGGTATTGCGATTATGTAATGTACATAATACTACTTGTCATCAATGCCATCAAATCTACTCGAGTATTATTAAACAGGGCCCCAACCCCATTCAAAACCCTCTTATGATAAGATTGATTTACTGTAGAATATAAGTATATAGAGTATAAGTATATAGTTTACTGTATAGTTTCGATGATTGGAAGCTCAACTCAAACCGAACGCGGACAAATCAAATTGGTGAGATAATCGCCTTTTGCCAAGGACACAAGCAGCTTAACCTTATCTCAAACTCGGCCTTTAACTCCTCCAACACCAAACCACCACCTTATATCTACAATTACCCAAGACTGTCATGAAGCTGTCATCTACGCGATCAACTGCAGTCAGATTCACATCTAAACATCTCAGGTATGTCATAGCACGACAGTTTATCTCATCGATGACTGCGAAGGTATTAACATCTTGTCTAGTACTCCAGTGACGAAGCTCCCACTTGCAATCAAACCAGCGCTCTGTCTCGATATCTCGCATCCTAGAATCCTAATACGAATCTCAAAGCCATCTCAAGCAACGATCAACAAACACTCAAACTTCACAATCTGTTGGAGCGACCTCACACATGCGTGTACCAATTCCGAGTCCTGTCGAAGAGTCGGCGTCGACACCTCCAAGAACACTGTTTGAAGGTTGGTTCTTGTTGTTGTTTTCAGCGAGATGGAACTAATATATATACACTACTAAAATTTCCTGATCCACCACAAAATCATAACGACCAGACTCGAAAACGAACATTTGACACATCTGATGAGATTAATGCCCAAAGACCCCCAAAACACGCTCGCCTGACGAAGAAAAACTTGAAAGCGTTCGAGAAATTGGCTGGACATCCAAAGAAGGGTCCAAAGTCAAAATCATCTCGTTCCGAAGCCAGGTCAAAATCATCTGACTCCGAGATCAAGTCAACACAATCAAAACAAACTGTATCCACGACGGACTCGAACTTTCAAGTTATTGCTTTTCAAAACGGGGTTCTAGATCCAAATTATTCGAAGCCTCCTGCGAATCTGGATTACAGACAAGATCGGCTTGACAGAACACGCGACACCGCCTCACCAACCGAGTCAGATTATTGGTACTTTGTTTCCGCAATACGAGGTGCACCTAACGAAGCATCAGTGCTAAATGAGACATCTACGCTGCTCAAGCGTTATGATAAGCCTGGATATCACAAGCGGTACGATCAATCATTCAACAACTTTCCAAAGAATTTCGGGTTCAATGACGGCCTTTCAGCTGCTCAGCCGGATATGGTTGAAGGCCTAAATATGCCTGAGTTTGAACCATTCCCAGTTCGCGAACAGCTAGGTGGGGCTGCGACAGTTTATTCAGGCATAGCCGCCACGACTTTACCACATCTCGCCGGGGAGTGGAAAGGGCCAGGAAAGGATATGGTCTTGACACAAACTCAAGCTGGATATGATGGCGCTTGTATGGTTTATGGCAGAAACAAAGCACTTTCATTTCTCGAGAGACCTGACCCTAATGGCCATGAATTTGTTTCGACTTTCACCACCGACGGTACTACCCTCAATTCTTTTGCGCACTATTCATCTGAAAACCAAGGCCAAGTCAAATATCATCAATATCCAACCTCTAGCTCTCTCCTTATCTCAAGCTACAAGGATTTCAAGACAAGCCGTCGACGTTTGAGGAGTCTACAGGATGATGCAAAAGAAACTTCGGAGAATATGAGACGAGCTCATCGACAAGTGGTCAGCAAATCAGCATTCTGTCGAAGGCGACGTTGAAGGCAATCAACAGCCAGTTCCAATCCCCGCCTCTCCACCATTTACAGATTTCGATAGCTACGACCATGACGATGAAGAGGACCCAACTTTTCAAAGTAGGGGTTCTTCATAGTATACCGGGAGAAAAGAAAGATAGCCACCCATATTTGCAATTTGAATCAGAACACGGCTAACCGTAAGTGCTATTAACATAATCTTCTAACCAAAAGGCTGACCCCTGTTGGACAACTGCGCTCAAATGGAGCCGCATTTCAATACTCCGCCCCCTTGCCAATGAGTCCTGAAACTGCATGTGCGGAACAGGGCGTTTCTGCTCAGTGGTTTATGGTGGGCGCTTCGAGCATTGCGTGCTCGTTACCAGTCTCCTTTCAGGAAATCAAATTTGCATTCTACCACTACCAAAACGGTATTTCAATACTAATTTACACAACGACAACACAGTATCTTCTTCGTCGTCTTCTCTTTTGTGTCGGTCTTCTATCAGTCTTCCCCCAATGCCTGTCCAGGTTACTGGGAGAGTCGGCAAGCCGAATGCTGGGCTCAGAGCCGCGATGCAGTTACTCATCAGCTGTTGAATATCGAGCATGAGCACGAGTATGCACAGTCTTGGGCTGCACGTGGCCCCTCACAGTGGCCGTAGATAATGAGCGATGGGGTTGTATAACATTGCGCTTCGCGCTCTGCTGACTGCGGTCCTCAAGACCTTCGTCACTAAGTGGCGAGGGTAGTATCCGACGTTTTGCTGGCCGTATGTCCTCGTATTCCTCGTCCTCAGGATGTTCAGAGCCAAAAATAGAGGTAGCTAATTATGGGATTCCGTGAAAGCGTAACCACACAAAGACATACCGCACTGCTATTCAATTCTGAGGATGATTTTCTTGCTGCCAATAATAACATTGCCTCTGGATAGTAGGACCACAACTTTGAACAGGTCAATTCGATTAATAATATGAATTTTATCGTGGCTGCGTGCACCAGAAGCAATACGAACCCTTGAGGTAACCGTCTCTATTCAGTCGATCAACCAAAATGCACTGGAAATGCATTAATCTGTGTTCTTTGCTGTTTAGTGGTGTAAACGGCCACCAAGCGGCCCTCCTCTACTTGCTGCAAACCTTGACCCTAATAGACGCGAATGTCATACAAATGAACCGACCTCTGTAATATACCCGGAGAAGTATATCGGGAATACACCCATCCAGCGAGCACCTGTTGCCATGGGGTTTGCTATATTTACCAACCCAAAATCCGGATGGTTGCGTATCGGACTAACCTTGATAGCGCTTATCAAATGAAGTCCTGATGGAATGGTTGCCAAATAAGTATATCGATAAATCATTCTCCATCGTCTCAAAACCCCGAGGGAGGGTGTCGACCAAGAAGTTACTGTGGATGGGCTGATCAGGGAGTGGTATTTCTTGACAATTGCAGTAGCGCTGCACATTGCAGCTGAGTTACACAGACTTAATCCCCATAAAACACAATATACTGTGATTCTGTCGCTATTCTGAAGTCCTCATCATTATTTTGCTGCAGCATGCCATTTGCTAGTTGAGGTTTTATTGTTGGCAGGTTAGGCCCAGTGTCAATTTGGATGCTTATATAATCAGATGTATTTAGTTGAAATGTATCATTACATAGTAGAACCTACTCGCTTCACACTGATAGTTTGTCCCCGTGTCTATGAACCTCTTTATGCATGTGTTGCTCCACATGCATTAGCCTTCTGTAAATCACGTACATCTTGATGTTGCCTCGTCGAGCCCCATTCCAGCAGCCGAAAATTGCCCCATCAGTCATAGGCTAAGCTTGTACATATGTTCGTTCTATTCTGTAGCAATGGTGCATATAGTTTAACAGAATAAGTCGAGCCTGGACTGACCCTCGGAAATGCATGGAGAAGTGAGCAGAGGAAATACGAAAACGTAACGTAACGTAAATCAAATTAAATTAAATCAACATGATTGCTTTACAAATCAGTGTTTCGCTCGGCCCTACAAGCGTAGCTAGTATGAAATGCGTACTTCCAAGTATAGTCTATTCTCATTTGATCATGTCATCGTATTGGGTTTCCATCCTAAGTAGCAGATGTGGATGCTGGTTTTAAAAATACAAAGTTGTGGAACAATGCACCGGTTGGAAGTGCTGTGGTACTGTAGCCAAATCGGCCCCTGGCCTAAGCGAAGTAACATCAGAAATGGCACCCTTCCAGAAACGGCTCTCTCAACGACACTTTTGAATACTCTTAAGAGTTTAAATTTCAAAAACCCCTCAAATTTTGAAGCATACAATAAAATAGTAGATAGGCGTCAGAAATTACAATTACCTAGCAGTAGCCGGAATTGGCTTTCACATTCTCGTTGTAATGCTAACTGTATAAACAAATCTCTGGAGGGTAGGTAGTAATGCCATTATTCTAGGTGGAAGTTTTGTAATTTAGGAGC